TCTAGTAATATGCTGTGGTCAACAGTGTCAAACGCAGCACTGAGATCTAATAATACTAACACTGAAGTTCTGCCACTGTCTGTGTTTAAGTGGATGTCATTGAAGACCTTTACAAGAGCAGTCTCAGTGCTGTGGTTTGGACGAAAGCCTGACTGGAACACATCGAAACAGTTATTTAAATGCAAGAAATTACTCAACTGTTGAAAAACAACTTTTTCAATGATTTTACCTAGAAATGGGAGGTTTGATATGGGCCTGTAATTGTTCATTACTGAAGCATCTAGATTATTCTTTTTTAAGAGCGGTTTAATGACTGCAGTTTTCTGGGCCTGTGGAAAAATACTTGAGTGAAGAGATTTGTTTACTATGTGAAGTAGATCTGAGGCCATGCAAGGAAAAACATCTTGGAAAAACCCTGTTGGAATAATATCAAGGCAGCAGGAGGAGGATTTCAGAAGTTGAATAATGTCCTCTAGGTTTTTATCATTAATCTGATGGAACTGTGTCATGGTGTTTGTATTGATTTTAGGTGGACACAGGGACAACACATCTGCTGTACCTGATGCAGAGGCACTGACTGCTGGTCTGATTTTCTGAATGGGGGGGATACTGACACTGGGGGGTTAGTTAGTCTGTCGACGGTAGCATTGTTTTTGTTTTTGGCAATGATGTCAGAGAAGAAAGACTGTCGTCAAATTTACAATTCCAAATGATAAAAGCCAAGTCTCTCTTTATAGATTTCAAAGTGAACCTGGAGATTTGTTTTTCTCCACCTGCGTTCAGCTTTTCGACACTCTCTTTTTGCTGTTCTCACGGTCATGGTCTTTCTCCATGGAGATCTTTTCTTCCCAGTCACTTCCTTTAACTTAGTTATTTTTGAATTAAAATAATCTACTAGCTCATTTACTGAGATGTTAGCAGGGGCAAGTGTGGAAGAAACATTCTGAGTAAACATTTCCCTAGTGTTTTCAGTTAAATATCGCTTTGTGGTTACTAGGGGTGTAACGGTATCCGTATTCGTCCCGTACCGTCACGGTTCGGACGTCACGGTTCGGACGTCACGGTTCGGCACATGCAGTCACACGACGAATACGCCTTTTTTTTACGAGTAGGAAAAAAGTCTGTCATTCAGGGCAGTATCCACTACACTATATATAATCCAGGGGGCGGTATTGCGCCTAAAATCTGTTTGCCAGCCGCCCTTAAACAACAAATGAAGAACAAGAAGAAACACAACAACAAGTCGAACAAAATACAATAAGAAGAAAAGTTAGTATGGCGATTTCAGATAACACACAGGAGCTAGAACCCACCTGCTTCTTTTAAATCAGCTGTGTGGGAACATTTCGGGTTCCCTGTGAACTACAATAACGATTAAGTGTGCGAGTGGTGGATCGGACGAGTGGTGGATCGGACGAGGACGGTGTGTCGACGTTGTTCGATAGCGGTGCTGTATGCTAATGGCAACACACGCCAAACATGCTAAATCATATCAGAAGGCATCACCCAGATTTGCCAATCACCGGAGCCCGGCAAAAGACAACAGCAGTTCAACAGCTTATCCCCGCTGTTTTTAAGAAGCCAATAGGCATGAAAGCCGTGAGACCAAAATAAATAACGGAAGCTTTTGGCATATGTTTTTCAACGACTTTGCGCTTTTGAAACACTTTCTTATTATTTATGATGTAATATTTTCAAGACATTCTTTTTAGTTTTACAGCTTGATGAAACCTTTTTGTTTGACATCAGCCATTATAGATAATATGGCCATCTGAGTGTATTGTGTATGGTTTGTTTTTAACTGTTTAATACAGTTAATTATTCAAAATGTCAGAGTTCTTTATTTTTAAACTGAAACTTGCACTACTGTTCAAACATAAATAACAACAAACCTGGAATTATGCATTTAGGGACTTTTTTTTGCATTTTCTTGTTGTACCGAACCGTACCGAACCGTGACCTCCAAACCGAGGTACGAACCGAACCGTGACTTCTGTGAACCGTTACACCCCTAGTGCTTACCTCTTTTTGAACATTTGTATGAACAGAAATGGAGCTCTCAAAGGAATGGTCAGAGAGTGCAACATCAGTCACCACAACCTCAGAGATATTCAGACCCTTTGAGATCATTAAGTCCAGAGTGTGCCCCTTATTGTGCGTGGGCTCCGTCACATGCTGAGTCAGTCCATAGTTATCAAGAACACAAAACAGTTCTTTAGCCCCTCTGTCCTGGGGGTTGTCAACATGGATGTTAAAATCACCAACAATGACTAGACGGTCAAAGTCAAAGCACACTATAGACAGCAGTTTAGTAAAGTCATCAAAAGAAGCTAAAAGAAGCTAAGAGCACAGCTGAACTCCCGCAGCCCTGGGGGGCCCCTACATTGGTTGTGATTGCAGATGACAGGGTTTGGTCAAGTTGCTCTCTACTGGTGAGGAAAGCGGCATACCAGTAAATCAGGTGTGGATTTACTTCCATTTTGGCCATTTTTGACACCAAGATGTCTGCTTGTATTGTGTTGCTGCTGAGAAGTCTAGGAAGAGGGCTCTTGCATAGGTGTGACGTTTATCTAAATGTTTAGTGATGATGTGAACCAGAGTAGCAGCAGTACCACCCCCTTGCTTATAGGCAAATTGGTATGGATCAAGTATGTCTTGTCCTTCACAATAGGTTTAGCTGAAGAGGTCATTCCTGTCACGGTTCTCATGGTGTCCCACACTTTTTTGGGGTCTTTGGCTTTAAAAGCATTTCCCAAAAGCTCTCTGTGTGTTTTGATTCCCTCAATTTGACTTTCAGTTCTCTCTCTGTCTGTTCAAGTGCTCCATAGTCTTTGTTTTATGTCCTTAGTCACATATGATTTCTTACTTTCTTTTCTGGTTCCCTTGAGTTTGGTCTTATACACTGGTATCATATTCACAACACTATGATCAGAGTTCAGTATTGGTGGTCTGTATTTAGACACATAGGCTCCTTTATCATTAACAAAGCATTTGTGCAGGATATTGTCTTTCCTGCTGTGATCCCTAACATACTGCTGGAACCCAGGTAACACAGTCTCCAGGCGACATTGCTTCATGTCCCCGAGCACTATTGCCGGTGCATCGGGGTGGCTGAGTTGCAGCTCGTGAACACAGTGTCCTCTGCCGCTGGGAGGCACGTAAACAACAAACAGTAAAATACACCCGGATTCTCTAGTCAGATAAAAGGGTCTTAACGTCATGCCGAGAATTTCTACGTTGGGATTGCAGGTTTTACATTTTACTGAGTATGATCGGCACCACAGATCATTAATATACACACAAATACCGCCTCCTCTGGTTTTCCCCGAGTTCGCATCCCTGTCTGCTCGAACAAGGGTGAGTCCGGGTACTTCAAAGAGAGATTCAGGCATCGTAGATTGGAGCCAACTTTCCGTGAAACACAATAAAGAGGCCTCGAGAAATTCATGACAGTACCTTGTGTATGTCCTTAGTGTGTCCACGTTGTTGCTCAATGAGCGCAGGTTTGTGAGAATGATGGATGGAAGTGGTGGCCGGCTGAATCTCCGCCGTATTCTGAACGCCTCCCCTCCTTCCTCGTCTCTTTTTCCTGGTGTTTCTAAGCGGCTCCCGAGGGATTTCATCCAATAACGAAGAGCACAGATGGCTTGGTGTATTCGTAGGAGGCCGATCGCATTGTAGCTCTAGCATTGCCTCGCGTCTGTAGCAGCGTAGAGGCCGGGGCTCCTCGCCATACCTGTTCGTGCTGTCACTCAGGTGTGTCTGGAAAGTTGAATGGCCAGACATGGTCTGCAGAAGGCAAATGTAATCCACAGGATCAAAAGCATGGTCTCTCAAAATGACGAGCATACTGAGACTCGCAGTGACAGGATGCCATCTCCCTCTGTCTCCTGTATACCAGAGGTGGGAGTAAGTCATACATGTGCAAGTCTCAAGTTACTGGGGTGAGAGTCAAGCAAGTCAAGTCCTACGAAATCCTGATGAATAACCCCAGTTTAAATCAGTTAAAAGACAGTGGTTATGAAACTAGAGTTTTATTTTCAACATTAACAACAATGGAGAGTGGGGCTCTGAAATCATAAAACAGGTAATAGGGGGAATAATTGTGTGTGTGTGTGTGTGGGGGTTAAAACGTAGCAGCCTGCGGTCGCTTGTTAGCTGTTCTAATGAAGGTAAACACAGTGAAGGCACAGCTCTTTGCAGCTGCTGCTGCTCTTCTCAGATTCTGTGAGTTACACGTTACAGCCTCCTGGTGCTGCAGAGATTTCATGAAGTGAAGGAGGTTGTCTTCTATAAAGCAGCAGATACTGTGAGAGTCACAGACATGAATACATAGGTCAAGGCAGACTGGTTCACAGACTCTCCTGTTTTGCCGATCCGGTGCTTGAACAAATAACTCTACACCCCTGGCCGAAATGTCCCTAAAATGAAGTTCGAGTTTGAAATATATCTCAAATAATGTATGTATTTCCCCACATAAACATAACAGTCTGCAATGAAACGGCTGTCTCCTGTGCGCTCCACTTCCTACTTTCTCCTGCGAACGAGAAGAGACTTTCTCTCTCTTTTTTTTCTTTCATTGCCCTCTAGGTGCTTCGTACAATACAAATGCAAATATTCTATTTTAAAAAGTAAAGTCCTTTCGAGTCATCTGTCTCAAGCCTAAGTCTCAAGTCATGAATACCAAGTCAAAGTCAAGTCGAGTCTTTTATCAATGTTAGTCAAGCAAGTCTCAAGTCAAAAAATAGGCAAGTCAAGTCATGTGACTCGAGTCAAGTCATGTGACTCGAGTCAAGTCATGTGACTCGAGTCCCCCACCTCTGGTATATACTTTGGTTAGAATATTGCTGTATTACTGTATCAAATATAATAAAGACAAACAGTTGATAAGTAGTATTTTGTTAACTCAAGGTTTATATTAAGTGAGTTTTTATTGTGGTAACTTGTGTATTTATGCTTTTTAGATTGACTTTCTCTCTTTCTCTGTCCGTCTGTTCTAGAAACCGAAAGGAAGAGAGAGACGTCACAGCTGTCAGCAATGTGACAAATCCTTTACAGCATCTGGAACTTTAAAGAGCCACCTGCTTATTCACACAGGAGAAAAACCGTACAGCTGTGAAGAGTGTGGGACAACTTTCACTCAATCAGTTAATCTCAAAAGACATCAACGTATTCATACTGGAGAAAAACCTTACAGCTGTGAAGAGTGTGGGAACACTTTCACTAGATCAGGTCATCTCAAAATACATCAACATATTCATACTGGAGAAAAACCTTACAGCTGTGAAGAGTGTGGGAAAACTTTCACTACATCAGGTGCTATCAAAATACATCAACATATTCATACTGGAGAAAAACCTTACAGCTGTGAAGAGTGTGGGACAACTTTCACTCAATCAAGTGCTCTAGAATCACATCACCGTATTCACACTGGAGAAAAACGTTATTGGTGTGAAGAGTGTGGGAAAACTTTCACTCAATCAGGTGCTCTAGAATCACATCACCGTATTCACACTGGAGAAAAACCTTACTGGTGTGAAGAGTGTGGGAAAACTTTCACTAGATCAGGTGCTCTCAAAAGACATCAACGTATTCATACTGGAGAAAAACCTTACAGCTGTGAAGAGTGTGGGACAACTTTCACTCAATCAGGTCATCTCGAAAGGCATCAACGTATTCATACTGGAGAAAAACCTTACAGCTGTGAAGAGTGTGGGACAACTTTCACTACATCAAGTGCTCTCAAAAGACATCTTCGTGTTCACTCAGGAGAAAAACCATAGTGGATTTAAGAGTGTAGGAGCCGCAATTAAGCATATTTTGTTTTTTTCACAGTTTACAATAAACAATTCCCATCTATTGGCCTTGTGTTGGGTAATCCTTTTTTCCATTACAGATCCCATCCCAACAGCGCCATCTGTTGACGTAACGTCAGAATTTACAGGCATAATGTTCACTGTTCCTTTAAAGTGGACCTATCATGCTATATTTGAATAATATAGTGTAGGACCATACCTATATAAGGCATATTTATACTTTTTATTTTTAAAAATACCAAACAGATCATGCATTTTAGTCATTCCTCATTTCGCTTAATTTAACACTGTCTGATTCTGATTCTGTGAGAACAGCGCCATCTGTTGACGTAACGTCAGAATTGACAGGCATAATGTTCACTGTTCCTTTAAGTTTCGTTTTCTGTCCGTCTGCCGACAGCGCGCTGTTTCATTGCTTTACATACCAAGGTTTACGTACACTGTGTCAATAGTTGTAGTATGAGCATCGTCTGGGCTGGCCGTCTGGTAGAATCGGTATGCTCTTCCTCCTGTGTCCACTTCCTCGCCTGTCACCTATGACCCCTTTTATACACCCCACCACCAAGTGTTCAAAATAACATTCAGGGTGTCCGCGGGTCTTAAAAAGTATTAAAAGTTGATAAATCAATTTAGCAAAAATAAAAAAAGTATTAAACGGCATTTTCCAAGGTATTAAGAAGGTCCACAGCAACGACAACATGAAACACCCTTTAATTTAATGAAACAACATGTCGGGAAACCCCCTCAAGCAGACATGGGGACTCGAGTTTGTGACTCGGACTCGAGTCGCACTTAAGTCGCACACACAGAGACTTCAGACTTGACTTGGACTCCTGCTCAAAAGACTTCGGACTCGACTTGGACTCGTGTTTTGGGACTCGTGAACAATCATTGTGTTTTCTATTTTTGGCGTATTAAAGGTGGGGTAGGTAATTTTGAGAAACCGGCTCGAGATCGCTAGAATTTGAAAATACACAACCGGAGAAAATCTGCCACTTCCTCACAGAGCCCCTCCTCCAACACACAGGAACGCGCACATGACCAATGAGGGCCCGAGATAAGTGTGTACACAGATGGAAGGCTGACAGGCAGGTAGGCCATCCAGTTACTTTAGCCGGGCCGGCTAAAGTAACTGGTCGTGCTTTTTACAGTATTACGGCTTCCACAGATGACTCTTTTTATTGGATCTTTTGTCAAAGCACTCGGTTAGCAAACATGTTTAGCTCAGCATCAGCTATGTAATGTTAACTTAGCTTGCTACTAGCTTTGTAACTGAATATTTGAAAATATGAGTGAATGTTTGCTTCTCACACTTGTTTGCGTTGAATGACGTTGACATCCAACTCTTGACATGACATAAAAAGGTCGGTAACGTTAATCATTACGTTCCGCTGCCACCATCTACTGGCTAACGTTAAACGTTGAAAAATACATAGTTACATACATAAATACATCTGTCGGTTTATAGGCAGGTTACAGGTTTATTGTTGACCACGTAACGTTAATGTTACAGGTTTATCAGGTTACCATTACACTGGGTTTGAGTGAGAGGATAGAGGAATATGTTTATTTATAGTAGACTTAAAAGATGTCATTAGAGACCCAGTGTAATTAAACAATACGGTTGCAGAGGTCAAATTTTAACATTTTTGTCCACTGGCCAAATGGCTAGCCTAGTGAATGTTGAAATGTTACCAGCCACTCAATAGATTGCCATTGTTATTTGTGGCTGGTGCGTGCAACATACAGAACCAGCCACTTGCATGATTTACCAGCATCTGGCTGGTAAATGGTGTTAATGGTAGATATCTCTTTTGGAACAGGTCATGTTTTAATATCACCAGTTCAGTATATTTCAGATAATATTGCAGCAATAGTTTTTTAGTTGCAAATGGCACAGAACAAATGTTTACTTTGAAGTACTTTTAACACAGTTTCCCTGCGGGGGATTAATAAAGTATTTGTGATACTGATTTCTGATTCTGAAGTGTTTTGCTTATAAGTTGTTTGCATTTAGCTAAAGTGTGATGTTTGTCCTCATATTGCAATAGCCTGTTTAAAGTGATCATATAACAACTAATCAGTACTGATACTGTATGCTAATAGATATAGGAGTGATAATAATACAGTACATGCTTTGAATGTCTTAGATATAGCTGTGCAGTATTCTTAACAGACTGGATAGCAGCAGACAATAGAAGGCTTATTACAACCAGAAGAGACATGAGACTTTTATTTTTTAGAGACTTGAGACTTGACTTGGACTCGTGACCAAAGACTTGAGACTTGATCAAGTCTCACCCCACAAAGACTTGAGACTTGACTTGGACTCGTGACCAAAGACTTGAGACTTGATCAAGTCTCACCCCACAAAGACTTGAGACTTGACTTGGACTCGTGACCAAAGACTTGAGACTTGACTTGGACTTGCAAAAAAAGACTTGTGAACATCTCTGCCCTCAAGTACCTCATTCACACCAACGGTGTTTCAGGGCCGGTTCGGAGCTGGAGCTTGAAAAGCACCGGGTTTTCCTCTTCACACCGCAGCGGAGCCGCCTCTTAGCTCCGGAATCCGGTTCGTTTCAAGCACCAAAAAAAATTGTCCGGCCAGAGCAAAAGCACCGCATACATCACGCTTACGTCGAGGCGGGGGCAGAGACAGATCAACTCCTGAACAACAACAAAAAGCCCGTGTTTTATCCAGTTTGTACACAACGATGGAGAAACTTAACAACTTTCAGAGTTTCAGTGTATCTGCCATAGACTGTATATATAAAGGTTTCTGCTCATGGTGAAGCAACGTGTCTGCGTGTTAAGGTGGAACCTGAGCATTCACGTTGATCACCTCTCATTATAAATCTATAAAACTATAAATATTAAACTCTACTTCACGTGTTCATTTAAGAACAGCTGTTACATACCTGGGTGAAGGTTACAGTTCATTTAAATGAAAGATACAACGTTACTCCACACTCATGGTTCAGTCCACCTTAAGAAATAAGACCGACCTCGGAAGCAGTTGTGTTTTAAAAAAACCTTTATTGACACGAGTACACTTTTTTATAAGAATATAACTAAACCACAGAAATGACTCCGGAAAAGCTGCAGATAGAGCCATAAGAAATGAATGCAACTGATTTCATCCGCGCGGTTTGGCTTTATGAAGCAGGCACGCAAACGGTTACGCCATGACGCAAACGATGACGCAACACCACATTACCAGTCGGACTCTGGGCGGTGTGAAAAGAGCCAGAGCTAAACCGAAGAACTGGTTCTGAACCTGAAAAGCTCTAGCACGAAGCTTGACCGGAGTTGCGTTGGTGTGAATGAGGTAAAGGTGGCCCCATGCATAGCGTGCCATAAAATGCTGCTTCTTATTTTAAGTTTCGTTGCCTTGCTCCGCTCGGTGGGGGGGGGGGGGGTATATGTACTTCCTGCTCTGGTCCCTTTTCCCGCCATCGTCAGTGTCTGCCCCGCCCCTGATTGTTTCCACCTGTGCCCACTTACCTCATGTACATATTGTCCTGTCTCCCCTTGTTAGTTGTCGGTTCGTCTTGTTCGTTGTCCCAAGAAGCCAGATCCAAGCCATCGCTTAAGAGATTCAGTGTTGTGCCTTTTTCCCTCCATGAGAGCATGTTACTTTAGTCATTTTGTTATTTCCTCTAAAAGAGTGATTTTGTTTTTTGCAAGTAAAGATTATTTGTTCTTCAAACCTTTTTTGTCTCTGGGTTGTGCATTTGAGTCCTAAACTATTGAGTCAAGGTTCCTAACACTATGGACATCAACTCTTAATCGCAGCAGCTTGTTTGGACAACATGTTGAACTGGAATGCTATCAAGAGTGAAGATAGAAAAGCACTGCATTCTTCTGCTATCTGTCTTCGTGGATGTTGCAACACAATGGAAGAGGTTGAGTTTTTGGATGAAATGAATAGCACATCAAACATGAGAAATGTGATCATGAAACTCCCGTTTAAACGTAGGGAAAAGTGGAGAACAACTGCATATGCATATAATGAACACAATAAGAGCAAAGTTTCCAATATTGGTCGACTTCATTGAAAAGCATGCTCGCATTGTATCAGACCCCATGTTTGGAGACATACAGGATGTCATGCCAAAAAGGGATATTAAAGTGTACAAGTCACCCAGCAATAAGCCTGCTCATGGTTATAAGGGAAGTAGCTTTGTTACTGTGACAAGCCCAGGAGTCAATGAAGAGCAGAAACCTTTCCAAAACATCAACTCAGACCATAAAGGCATTACTGTTCAGAAGCGCTGTGTACTTTGTGCAGGAGAACACACCTCTGAAACATGTCAGATGAACAAAACATCTCACAATGAAAAGATCGACTGCTCAAGGAATTTGCTTTGGCTGTCTAACGAAAGGACATCTAAGCAAAGACTGTCAGAAAAGAATGAAATGTGAAGTTTGTTCAATGAAACATCCAACAATATCTAAACATCTACAAGAAAAGGATTGAACAAAAAGACAGCTCTGATAAATCCACCCAAGCAGCTTCTGTAAGCATTAGTCTCTTTAGATGGCAGACACCACACTGGGGCCGGTGGGCAACAAACCCTACCAATTATCTCCAGTTCAAATCAAGTTGTCAAACTCGACCCAGACTGTGCAGACTTACGCATGTATGGATCAGGGAAGCACTGCACGTTTCTGTACTGAAGCCCTTCAACAACATGTGCATGCCAAAGCCAAGAGAACAAAGATCCTCTTAAAAACAATGGGTCAGGAGAAAGTGACACTTCCTTTGTCAAAGGTCTTGAAGTGAGTTGCATCGAAGGTAATGATGTTTATCAGCTGCCTAAAGTCTACACACAAGAGGAAAGTCCTGCTGGAAAAGAGCACATTCCCAAGAGACCATCAATCAATGGAAATATCTAAGAGAGATTAAGTGGCCTGAACTGGATTGTGAAATCGGGTCGCTTATAGGAACAAATGCACCAAAGCTAATGGAGCCGTGGAAAATAATAAACAGTCCAAATGGAGGACCCTTTGCTGTGAAGACAGTCCTAGGTTGGGCTGT